ATGGGTCCCCATATTCTTCTCTTTTAGCGCTCTTTCTGAAATAACACCTTCTAGGTCCTCAGTGTAGTGGTTGTCAAAGCTTTCTTGTAGAATCCTTCAGTGTTGTTGCCTTTGCTGGTCTTCTTCAACTGTTTCTTATCATCCATCATTTGGTCAAGCTCCATTATCTCCCTCAATCTACGTGTTCTCAAAGGTCGAATGACTACTTGTATGTCGAGTTTTAAGACTTTCAAGAAGTTCCCTTCCAGCACTGCTTCAGAAATACCCCTCAACCTCCCTAACAAGAGTTCGAACTTCTCTCAGTATTCTGTAACCGTACTCTCCTGAGTCAGAGCATAGAGTTGCTCTTGTAGGTCTCCTTCCCAAATTGCTCAGAAACGTTCCAACAAGCAATCCTTAATGCTCTTGTAGGTCTCCTTCCGAAATTGCTCAGAAACGTTCCAACAAGCAATCCTTAAACTCCTCCTATGAGTGCATCAGATACCTTGCATCTATCCACTAAAACCGCACTAAAGTCTTTCCCTCCAAACATAATCCCGCTGTCAGGAGCTTCTTTTCCTCAGTTAACCCATTTACTGCAAAGTATCGCTCCACCCAAGACACCCAACCATATGCATCTTACCCTTCGAAAATCAGCATCTTCAGTTTTCTGACGCCTAAATCTCCACTCCAACTTCCTCTTCCTCCGATATTTTTACCCATGTCTAGGATGAAACTCCCTCCTCTAGTCGTAGGCATACCCAACTCCTGATTCCCTCCTTCCTCCCTCGTGCTCTTATGTGCCCCCTTATACAAATCCTCCAATTTTCAGCCCATCCCCCTCCATTGAAAGTCTCCACTCCCCCTCCTCTTGGAGTCCTCGAGGGATGCTCTTGTTGGTAGATGATGTCATCTCTTTGCCCTCTCATTCAATCTCCTTCTCTTTTGACCTGACCAAGGATTCCCTAATCAACCATTGGTTGGGGATTGCAACTGAAGCGATTAGCATGGCCTTGAACTGAATTTCCAAATTTTTCTTCATCTCCCGCATTTTTCCTATACTCTCGGATTCGTCTTTCATTAGGCTCTCAATGGAAAAAAAATCGTCCACCATGATAGCGAACCTCATTTCTATTCCCGATCAGATTTGCCCAACTTCTCCTTCTAGCAAATCCACTTTCTTTGTCGTCATCCCTGCAAGATCTTGCTTCCATACCAATTTGATAAGCTCTGGAACCAAAATCAACGAACAAACAACAGCAAAATGGCAATAGATAGATGGAAAAACCCAAATGATAGCTACTCTTTTGAAATACAAAAAAACAAGCTAGATATGAAGATGATCTACTTTTTTAGAGGTAGATCATCTCTCCCACAACCCTTGAAATCGCTAAGAACAAAACAAAAGAAAAGAAACAACAACCAACAAATATGCATAAAGAAAAACAACCCTAGGTTATCTCTTCTCATATAAACCTCCTAAAAAAACCTTCCAAACTTTGCCCCTTCCCAAATCCCCTTTAATTTCTCCTCCTTAAGCATGTGATTAAAGCCCTCGAGGACCTCACTTAATTTTTTATTTCCTCTGCTGCAGCTCGCTGTCGTCCCGCCTCTTTTCGCTAAGTCGTCCATCCCGCCTCTTCTCGCGGAATCACCTGGCTTGCCTGCTGTTGTGACGGGTCGGTTGGATGGCTCTCGACCAATCCAAGAGGGACCAGTTCATATACAAGCGTAACAAACCACTACATTAGAAATCGTCATAGGAGCTTTATGGGAAAAAATATCCTACAATGGGATCCAGGTCGTACTAGAAAAAAAGAGGCCTCTTTGGTGTGGACATTGAGAGTTGCTCATCTTGTCTTAGAGTGCGCCCTAGAGTCGATTCCTCCTCACAGTCTTGTTCATCCGATACACTGAGATGAGTACAAGTGAAAGAAGTCAATTATAAATTTAATGGCTCAAAGCTTGGTTCTTGAGGATACCACCACACACGTGCAGTTATAGTTCTAGTAGTACGAAAAGATGATGGATACCTATATCAGGATATGCTTTAAAATAACATCAACATGATTGAGTTACCGGGTAGTAGCAATAGCTCCACCACATTCAACGTGGTCTGCCCAACGCCATAGCAGGAGAAGAAGTAAATTCGACAAATGTCCCCCCCCCGCCCTTCTTTCGTGGCTAGTGCAAACACGGGACTCCCATGATTGAGCAGTTCCTGACCGAACCAATCTAGCTTTTTTTACTAATGAGGAATTGATTGTTCCTCTTGAGGCATTCCTAGTTATCCATTTATTATATATTTATTTTTATGATGTTTTAGGGTTAGTTTTTGGTGTGTTTTGTGTCGGAACTGCTGACAACATCTCCGGTTCCACTTTTAGGGCTGTATCTAAGGGCGAGTGGTCCTCTGACTGTATCTTTGGGGTGGTGACTATCCTCAACTTTCTCTTCGCATCATTCCCACCACTGCCTTCATTGTCGCTCCTGCTGCAGCTGCCCAAAAATAGCCCTCCTTGGTTGCTTTTATGCAATTGACCTTGCCAGCACCTTCCAAACACCACACTCCTCCCTTCCAACTCACGGTCCCCTTTCAGAAACCCCACTTCCCACTTCGCCTTGCTGCCAGCACCCATAAACCACCTTGTTGTTATTGCTCTGACCAGCCATACCTTGGTGGATACCGCTCAGGACAGCTCTCCCACATCAATTCCAGCCCCCCAAGTCGTTCTGCATCGCTACCACAGCCTCCCCAACTCCTTCGCCCTGTTGTTTTATTATTGTCTAGCCATCCTGCAACACTGCTCAAGGAATAGGGTTGGGCATACCTTTGAGTGTGAGGCTCAACTTGTCCACCATATGTGTAGATGATACGTTGTTGTTCCCTCAATCGATGATGAAATTGCATACCTTCTCTTTCATAGTGCAACGAGGTTAGAATATGTTATAACAAAACCACTGCTACTCCCTCATAGCCTCAATATGATGGACCCGTCGAACCACCAACATCGCCCTTATCTGGTGGAAGCTGGTACTCCTTACCATATTCTTCAGCCGCCTCTTCATCACTTCCTTCATGCATCCTGCTCATTTAAAAACACAACTCGGCTCATGGAGCAACAAGAAGTAATGTATCCAAAACTAGGCATCTAAAACATTTATTGTCAGGGATTATAGTCGTCATGCTACTCTTCTCAGGCTTCTTCTCACTAAGAGTATATCTATCCTATTCTTGGACAGTCCGCTCCACTCTCTAAGGTGTGCTTCTTTTGAGGTCCCCAACTGTAGGTGGTTGTCTGACTGGCGGTGCTTGCATGCTCTGCTTATGATATCTCTCTACTTTTAGTGCTAAAGTCTACACATCACTTAGTGTCCAATAAGGTTGCAATTGGGCCACATTACTGATGGCAGGTTTCAGACCTCTCAAATACCTAGTTGTGGTGTATTCTTCGATCTCCTTCGGCTCACACTTCAACTTAAGTTACATAAATTTTATCGTGCACTTCACTAATAACTACTTCTACTATATGTAGTAGAGCTTCAAGAAAATATTTTGACAATTGTGCGGGGTAGGTATTTTTGATGCATCCCTTCTTCATTTTCTCCCTAAAAGTGACTTTGTCTCGTCCTTCTCTCTATCTCCCTCTTTAGATTTTCCATCATAAGAAAATTTTCTTCTTTGATTTGATGGTGGCGAGCTTCACTCTTCTATCATCGGGAACCTCCATGTATTCAAAGATCTGCTCAACTGTTTGCATCCACTCATGAAAATATCTTGATCAATACTCCCCTCGAAGTTTGATAAATCCACCTTCATTCCCAAATCTTTATATCCTCCAATAGACACATAATCTCTGTATCTTCCAATAGACACTTCATCTCTATTATAAATTTGTCATTTAATTATAAATTTATCTTTAATTAAAATTATTTTTTATCTTTTATAACAAGCAAGTTGACTTGTGAACCAGCTCAAACTTGTTTATTAAGTTCAAGGTTTAGTTTGTGCTCGAGCTCAAACTCAATTAATTATTCAAGCTCAAGCTTAAGCCAAGGGTGGCACGAGCTCGCCTAAACTAGTTTTACATCCCTAATCTAGAGTGATGGGGAGCAGTGTGGGAAGAGGGCGAAAGGATTAGAAGGCGGGTACTGCAGGAAAAACAACCAAGGAGGGTTGTCTCCATACGAAGACAACAGGTACGATGAAGGTGGAAACAGAGGAACGAAGGTGGTGGCGGGGAAAGTAGAGGATAATCGCCACATCAGAATGAGATACCACCAGAACACTACTTTGAATAAAACCCTAAAAAGAGAAAACCTGAAAGCCGACGGCCGTCCGGATAGAAAACACAAGCAAATAACTCTCATCTAAACCCTAATTCAACACATACATAGGAAAGACTAATAAGGAACGAAAGAAAAAGAAGACACTCACTAAAAATTGAAATGGAATAAAAAATGGGCTGTTCAGTTCAGCTGTATGCCATTCTCATGAAGAGACACACGTCATTCGACTCCTGTAGCAGGAGAGGCCCACGTCAGCAGATTAGCATAGAGAAGAGAAATTGAGATTATGTAAATCTCATTATGATAAATTGACATTGACAAGGAACGAAAGAAAAAGAAGAAACTCACTAAAAATTGAAATGGAATAAAAAACGGGCCGTTCAGTTCAGCTCTATGCCATTCTCATGAAGAGACACGCGTCATTCGGCTCCTGTAGCAGGAGATGCCCACGTCAGCAGAATAGCATAGAGAAGAGAAATTGTGATTATGTAAATCTCATTATGATAAATTGACATTGAAATTACTGTGGGGAAAAAAAACATGTAGCTAAAAGAATCTTTGTCTCACTGATAGGAATGAATATCAATGGCAGAAGATAGAAAAAAAATAAACAAGCACCCAAATCATGGGGACTACAATGCCTAGAATAAAATATAGCAATACATGTAATTTTTTTCAAAATTTAGCACATGAATGAATAAACAAGTTGCATATGAAGTCAAAATTTTTACCTGGACCAATTGTTTAGCCTTTTCGTCAACATGACCGCAGAGGAAAGTAGCTGAGGTGTCACCGTGATAGCCCTAGATCAGAATGTATCCAAAGGAACTGTGTCGTCTCAACAAACCTTGGGATGTACGGCTCGACTTCTGGATGGTTGACATTTCTCAATATCATATTTGCAGCGGTGTATTCCTCGAATGTATACAAGAGGAGACTCTGTAGTAAACAGAACCAAAAGTATAGTTTTTTTATGATTTATAACAGTAATCAAAGTGTTCAGGAATGATAAAAGGAAAAATATAAATATCTAATGTAAGAGAAAAAAACATCCTTTTAAGCGCCGACGAGGATGTATAAAAATGAATAAGAGTTTTGTTAAGAACATCTAGCATTTCATTATGAAGGATGTATAAAAATGAATAAGAGTTTTGTTAAGAAAGATAACCAGCAAAAAATAAATCGAAATTTACATGCATACCATACAATTCTTATGCCATTACATATCTAACACCCAAAATTTGATATTTACACTTAAAATTTATTGATGCCAAAAATCTATGCATAAAAAAATGTGAATTTAAATTTTTTTAAAAAAAAGATAGTGATTGTGGTATTTTTGATGTGACGTTAAAAGAAATGAGTGGTATGCTTGTAAATATGATTTTTTAGGTGTTAGATATGTAAATACAGAAGAATTGTGTGGTATGTATGTAAATGCCCCAAAAGAAAAATACTAATTGAGGAACTTTATCAACAGCACCACCAATGATATTATCTTAACTATTTGTGCTCTACTTCATGAATCATCCTAAATTCATTCCGATAATTCACTAAGTAAGGTGCTAAATTCATTTTGTACAAATTTTTTAATTTCTAAGAAGTATAATTTTATAGTTTATGCATTTCTCCTTATAATCCATCAATATAAATCTTATTAACCTGCCCCTATTATTGAAAAAAAAAAACCCTGCCTCCATTGATAAAAAAAGAAAAAAAATGCCTCCATTAAGAATACCTAAATCACCTAATTCTACTTTTCACATTTTATTCCACATGATGCTTCCATGTCTCTTTACTCATTTCTAGTACAGTTCTTAGTTTTACGCCAAAATGGCATTATAATAGCATAAAAAAAATCATTATGATAAACACATGGTAACATTAGCTAGAATAGAATGTAAAATGATTTTGTTAAAGAAAAGAAAAGAGGATCATCTATTAAAGATAAGGTTGTAAGAAATATGTTTAAGTGATTTTGGCGTATAAATAAAGGATAGGAGACGAACCAATAAGATGAGTTGACAATCAGTCAGAAATAGAAATGGGTTATACCAAAGGATTCAAGAATAGAAGTTGTGTAAAGATTTGCATTAGATAAATTTAACACCTCATCAAAACGCAGATAGAATCTAATGGAGAAAGAGTAATCAAAATCTATACCCAAATGAAAAAAAGCGATGATGATGATCTTAAATGCTCATTTTGACATGCTCCACTTGGATACAAATTACTTGTTCCCCAACACTCAAATACATAATAGCAAAAGCTTGGTACTTCTACTATTATCACGACCCGGCTCGAGACTTAGAATTAATTAAGACGAGAATAATGGTCGGATGGTATTAACATAAAACTACCCAAAGAATTATATAATCTTCCAGTTTATAAATGAGCCACTAAAATCCACAAAGTGCAATAAAATCAATACATCCAAAAACAATATAATCTGAAAACCACATTTCAAATCAGTAATGAACAGTATATAAATATCTAAGAGAAATAATAAAAAGAAACTACAGCAAACCATTACTAGTATCTATTAACTGTTGTCCTCCTATAAATCAAATATATCTATCAGACATATCAACCTATAGCTTTTCTTCTCCTGAAAGAGAATATTAATTTTAATTGTAAGTTAGACTTAGTGAGTAATAATAATTTTAAAATGTTTTAAATTATGATGCTTATGCTATGCATGAATGACCAAAAGAAAATGGAACTAATTACTTTATAAAACCTTGAACTTACATTTTAATTTTATCTCTTTTCATCCCACTTCAAGTATTTATCATTTTAACCTTTCTAAGATTGATAACAAGATCACTGTCATACCCGTAAGTACCCTCAAAATGTACCCGAAAGTATCCTAAAAATGTACCCAAAGATACCCTCAACTGCACCCAAAGATACAACTTTTACCATTTCTTTTAACGTGCACGAGTATATCGCATCCCCTGCCAGTATTATGTGAGGGTAATCATGTCAGACTTCAACCTTTACATTTAATTTCATATGAATTAAAATCATTTAAAATATACCTACATATATACATTAATTTCCTCTCATTGCTTATTCCATTTCAAAAATTCAACAAGCAAGGTATAAATGAAAAACTTATTTTAAATCATTTAATAAATCAATTATTCATTTACTATAATATAAATTTTATGCATTAAAGAAAATAATCACTCACTTTATTTGCCTTGTAGAGACCTCTGAAATACTTATTCATTTACTAACTTCTTTGGGCAAACACCTATATCAAATGAATGTGCGTATCATTAGATAAGAATCATATTTTTAAAATAAATACTTAATATATCTAATGACATACAATGTAATTGACACATAAGTAATTGCACCATTTCTTACATTAAAAAGTTTGATTTACTTCCTTGCACATAATTCTCTTTTTTTATATAATTTTAATCAATACAGCCTTTAATCTTCTGCCCTTTTAAAATCTGATTAATTTAAACTTGTCATTAGCATTTAGTAAATAAACCAATCTTTTAATTCAAATAATTTATATCATAAAACCTTAGTTACCCATTAAGATCTGGTTCTTACCGTTCGCGCACAAGCTTAATATCACGCATGAGCCATCTCCCTTCTCTTTTTAATCAAATCCATCCATTTACAAATAAGTCGCTCGACCCCTCTGACAATCTGTCTGTTGTCTCTTGTTCGTTCGTAGGTTCAAATGAGAAGACGTACGAAGGAATAAACAATATGTTACAAGGGCATGTGTCTCCTGTAACTGCCTGCATCTTATTTATTTATTTATTATTATTCTTATTCTTCTTATTTTTTTATTTTAATTATTGGAATCTCTCCTCACGAAATCTGAAAATACTAAATACAACAGCAAACATATCTCAATATTAAATACAAAAACAAACATACTCAGAGACTTTCACCCAAGTAGCATCCTTCTCCAACCCCTGCTTCCATAAAATTTTCATAAAAGGAATCTCTTTGTTTCGTAGCTTCTTCACATTATAATCCAGAATTATTTCAGGATCCTCAACATAAGTCAAATCTAGTGGAATATCAACAAAGTCTGCTATCTCCCTTTAAATTCAGCAGCAATATAATTCTTAAGTTAAGAAATGTGAAAAATGTTAGGCAAACCTAGCATATGAGCTGGTAAAACTAATATGTAAGCTACCTTCTCAATTCTCTCCACAATATCCAATGGACTGACAAATCTGGGGCTCAATTTTCCTGCATTCCCAAAATGTTGCAGAGCCTTCAATAGACTGACTTTGATAAAAACAAACTCTCCAATTTCAAACTCAGCGGGTTTGTGATTGACATCAAAATATTTTCTCTGCCTGTCCTACACAGTCATCAGTCTTTCTCTGATAATTCTAATCTTCTTAATGGCATCATCAGCCAATTTAGTTCCGATTATCTTTCTTTCACTCGTTTCAACCCAATATAGAGGTGTCATGCACTTTCTCCTATACAAGGCTTCATATGAAGTCATCCCGATGCTAGTTTGCTAACTATTATTATAAGCAAAGCCCACTAAAGGTATATGTAATTCGCAACCTCAACTAAAATCAAGGACACATAATCTTAGTAGATCCTCCAAAGTCTAAATAGTTTTCTCTGACTGACTATCTGTTTGAGGGTGAAATGTTGTACTAAAAGTCAGTCGTTTGTCCAAAGCTTCTTGAACCAACTTCCACAATCTAGAAGTAAATCTGTCGTCTCTGTAGGAGACAATAGAATTTGACACTCCATATAACTTCACAATTTGATACACATACAATTTCGCTAGCTTATCCATTGGATCTGTCTAATAACCAAGAAATTGGCATATTTAGTCAATCTGTCGACGATTACTCATATAGCATGAAGATTTTGGTGTGATTTCGGCGAAAAAATAACAAAATTCATCGCAAGTTCCTCCCATGTCCACTTTGGAATCGGTAAAGGCTACAACTTACCTTTAGGATGCTGATGCTCTGCTTTTACTAGCTAACATGAAGGATACTTAGCCACAAATTCTGTCACATTTCTCTTTAATCCTGGTCACCAAAATGCTTCTTTGAGATCTGCTCTGTCACATTTCTCTTTAGGGTCCGTTTGGGGCAGCTTATAAGTGCGGGCGGCGTTTTGAAAACACTGTCGTACGGTTTGATTCGCACGTTTCGTCAGCTTATTTGAAACTGCGTTTGAATTTTTACACTAAATGCAGGCAGCGGGGCGACTCCTGCGGCTGCGGCCGGCCCGCGGGTTGCGTTTCAGAATAAGCAGCTTATCCTGAAACACACAAGCTGTCCCAAACAGACCCTTAATCCTGGTCACCAAAATGCTTCTTTGAGATCTGAGACATTTTATTACTCCATGCGTGAATAGTACAACCAAAAAAATGTGCTTCCTCCAGCATTTCTCGTCTCAAATCATCAACATCTCGAACAAAAACCCTATCTTTATATCTCAATAGACCATCCTGATCTAGCTCATAGCTCTGTAAATTGCTTGCATTAACATGCTCCAGAGCTTTTTGAATATTGTTTTCTCTGGCTAAAGAATCTCCAATTCTGCCCATCAAGATTGGTTGCACTATCAACAGATATAATTGAGCCATATTATTATCACCATAATCAACTAGAGAAAGCTTCAACTTCTTCAAATCTTTAAGTAATTGCTCATGTTGAGTAAATAAAAAGTTTTAATTACCTGAGATTTTCCTACTCAGCGCATCTGCAACAACATGTGCCTTCTCCAGATGATATTGGGCATCTAAATCATGATCTTTAATAAATTTCAGCTATCCCATTTGCCT